GCTAAGGCACACGAAAGTCAACAAGGTGCTTGGTGACAGCCAGCATGGCTTCACTGAGGGGAAATCCTGCCTGACCTATTTGGTGGCCTTCTATGATGGGGCTACAGAACTGATGGACAGGGGTGGAGCAGTTGATGGCACCTACCTGGACTTGTGCAAAGCGTTCGACACTGTCCCACACGACACCCTTGTCTCTAAATTGGAGAGACATCAATTTGATGGATGGACCACTCGGTGGATAAAGAACTGGCTGGATGGCCGCACACAAAGAGTTGTGGTCAATGGCTCAATGTCCAGCTGGAGACCAGTAACGAGTGGGGTCCCTCAGGGATCGGTGTTGGGACCGGTCTTGTTTAACATCTTTGTCGCTGACATGGACAGTGGGATTGAGTGCGCCCTCAGCAAGTTTGCCGATGACACCAAGCTGTGTGGTTCGGTTGATACCCTGGAGGGAAGGAATGCCATCCAGAGGGACCTTGACACGCTTGTGAGGGGGGCTGATGCCAACCTCGTGAGGTTTAACCATGCCAAGTGCAAGGTCCTACACCTGGGTGGGAGCAATCCCAGGCACAGCTACAGGTTGGGCAGAGAAGAGATTCAGAGCAGCCCAAGGAGAAGGACTTGGGGGTGTTGGCTGATGAGAAAATGAACATGAGCCGGCTTCAGTGTGCGCTCGCAGCCCAGAAAGCAACCGTATCCTGGGCTGCATCAAAAGGAGCGTGACCAGCAGGGCGAAGGAGGTGATCCTGCCCCTCTGCTCTGCTCTCGGGAGACCTCACCTGGAGCATTGTGTGCAGTTCTGGTGTCCTCAACATAAAAAGGACATGGAACTGTTGGAACAAGTCCAGAGGAGGCCACGAGGATGATCAGGGGCTGGAGCACCTCCCGTATGAAGACAGGGTGAGGAAGTTGGGGCTGTTCAGCCTGGAGAAGGCTGCGTGGAGACCTCAGAGCAGCTTCCAGTATGTGAAGGGGGCCTATAGGGATGCTGGGGAGGGACTCTTCATTAGAGACTGTAGTGACAGGACAAGGGGTAACGGGTTCAAACTTAAACAGGGGAAGTTTAGATTGGATATAAGGAGGAAATTCTTTCCTGTGAGGGTGGTGAGGCACTGGAATGGGTTGCCCAGGGAGGTTGTGAATGCTCCATCCCTGGCAGTGTTCAAGACCAGGTTGGACGAGGCCTTGGGTGAGATGGTTTAGTGTGAGGTGTCCCTGCCCACGGCAGGGGGTTGGAACTGGATGATCTTAAGGTCCTTTCCAACCCTAACTATTCTATGATTCTAAAACATTTTTGTCTAGCTGAAATAAGTAGTGTTTTCTGGCCAACCTCTACATATGAAAGTCCTACAAGCTTTGTAAAAGCATACTAAAAAGTGACTTAAGTCATGTTCTAGTACAGTGTCTGTAGTCCTTTTAAGAAAAACAAATCTTATGGAGGATAAAAACTTATCTTGAAATTTAATTTCTTCAGCATGACCAGAATTAAAAGTTTAACATTGTTTTTCAAAGAAAAAGGCAAAGAATTTATCTTTTTGAAACTTCTATAAGGCAAAGTGAACAGACTTAAGTCTAATAGGATTTTTTAAAATAGGCTTTAATACAAGAAACAAAGATGCACACAGTCAGTTTCCTAGCCTTATCTAAAATCATCGAGATACACTATTATACACATTATTTGACACAGCAATAATTGTGAATCTTTGCAGCAGCTCTATTATGCAGTATTCCTCCAACTTCTGCCACCACACAAGTCCTCATGACTGGTCTGAAAGCCACTAATGAGTCTCCAAACAGTGTCTTCATACACAATTCTTTACACATAGTCTGTATTAAAATCGTAGGCATCATCTTCATCTGCTGTCTTATCCAGGTTGAGCAACAGTGAATTGGACTGTTCGCTTTCTGAGAAAAGAAAATCATGTGTTAGTGAAACCAATGCAAGTTCTAGAGTACAAGAGGCTATACTTCAAGCCAGGGTTTTTAATACAGACCTGCTATTTGCTTTTCTGAATTTGTAGGACTTGTTTGTTTTCCAAGCTTTGTTTTCCTGGAGATCTGAACTTTGCTTTTCTGCAAGACAAGAGAGGTCAGATGTGTTTATTCAGACATCAATGAAGTCCTCCATGAAAATAACACCTAACAGACACTGCTCATAGTGTGGATGTCCCCTTCTGTAGCTGCTCAGGAACACACTGACCTAGAATAATGTTTATTCTTTAATTAAGAAAAAAAACCAACCCTTATCTCCAGGATTTTTCCTGGTGGCTCCACAGTGCCAACACCTCAGTTTACAGCAGGATACTGACTGGTTAAGTGGTGTCAGGATCTAAACAAGTAGAAGAAGCCTAATGAAACCTAATTTACCTCTTCGACATCCATTTCTTCTTCCAAATTGTTTGGATCATCGTCACTTTCTAGGAAATCCTCCTCTTCTTCCTCATCTTCCTCTTCCTTGCTTGTTTCCAAGTTTTCCCACTCTGATGCTTCCTCTATCACTATTGTCCCATTTGCCATACCAGCTGACTGAAAAATTATGCTGTTTGCTGGACTGGGACATTTTAAAGCTGAGACAGAAAAATAGGAAGTGTGTGTTAAGTCACTGATAGACGGTACCAGATGTAATGCCTACCCCACAGAGGACAGGCATTTCAGGTCAGGGCTAGGAAAAGACAGTCCTGCCCCATCCTTTCCACAAGATGCCACTCCCATGTAAGCAGGCAGAACAAAGGACAATTCTCTGAGAATAGCGTTCCCTAAGACATCTATGGAAGACTGGTAGGAGCTGGAAGACTTGGAATTGGAGCACTGATTGTACTGAGTAAGATGTATTTTGTTGGCCAAATTAGCCACGGTTTATGTGCTCCACAACAGTCTTTACCCCTGTTTTCTGTTTAGGAGGGTTAGTTCAGATGAGCAGAAACTAAGAACTAGCAGGGGTAACTTGTGTTAAGGCAGCACACAGATGCACTGTTCTGTTGCATCTGAATCCATTTCTTTCTTAAAAGGCTTTTATAATTCACTGCATGTTGGCAATGCTCTCATATAAACCCGAGGAGGAATTCCCTTCAAAATCTCCCATTGAACTGACTACTACCCAGTTTTAATGGTAGCAGTGCATTACAGTAACAGTCCTACCTTGAACAGTGTTGTTGTTTTCTTCTTCTAGGTTCTTCAAATTAAAGCACTCTTGCATTTCAGCTATTTTGTCTTCTGTAAGATATGGTGGCAGTGTCTGAGATTCTGGAGGTTGTGAGTAGTAGCTTATTTTAGCTCTGGGAATATAAAATATCAGCATTAAGAACCAACCAAAGATAACATAGTTAAATCACTGTAGTTAAAAATAAAACCCAGAGCACAAGCCTCTCAAATTTCTCAACCTAACAACTCATTTATTATCCATTTTACAGCAGTTAAATAGCTATTTAATTTTTGGCTCTGAAGTTGTCAATAACAGATTAAGTGGACAGCCCACTCCTGAGAGGAACAGAAGTGACATGCTTTGCCACCACAAATCATCTGCCTGTAAAATCACGAGCTGTAAAAGCAGCTAAATCATTTGAGCGAGGGAAGTAGTCACACTCAGTTATTGACTCTGAGTTACATTTATTCCCACTCTTATAGTACAGGAACCACTATGAATTCCTACAGAAAATCTGCCACATCTTTGGCCTATGGAAGAGGACTACATGGACTCAGTACATAAGAGGAAGGCAAATTTCCCTAACAGTTGCAGCAGAAGTCAGCAAACTGGCTATGGAGTAATGTGCAACATGATTTGATTCCTTCCATGTATCCTTCACTAATTTAGAAAGTTATCCATGGATGGTGTTCTCTGTGTCTGTCAGACAATCCATCACTCTTCAGCAAAGTAAAATGTAGCCCCTGCTGTGCTGGATTAACAAAATAGAAATGGTGAGCAGCATAAAGCAAAGTTCATAGCATACGTACCCTGTCCAGTCACAAAGAAGTACTTTAGTGATATTCTCTATGTCAGGAACACCTCCCTTTTTCAACATACCCCTTTTCTGAGCCAGTAAAGCTAAAAACTCTTCAGTGTTCTCAAAATCTGGGATACTATAGCGCATAATTACCTAGAGCAGAAGAAAACACTGCATTCAGAAAGAGGTACCCAGTTTTCTCCTAAGGTTTAGGAAATAAAAAGAGCAAATAAGATCGGATTACAATGAGGATGAACATGCATGTGAAGAGCCATTTTTCTCTTGCACATGGGAGTAAACATTCCAAAGCAAAATGCCTACTTTATCAAGAAATTCATCTGCCATTCACCCATAGTAGTGGGTGTAGAGAGACAGCACACTGGTTTGTGAAAACAGTTATTGCAAAACTGAACGGAAACTAGGCTTAGGTTAATCTACTTGAAACTAGAATGAAATCAGAGTTGGATCTGAAGTCTTCACTGTAATAGGAAAGAGTCAGAATATCTTCATTTTTCATTCTGTGATGCTGTATTGACATCTTAAAAGCAAGTTGTGTTTTTTTTTTTTTAAAACAGGAAAGTTACAGGAAAAAGAGCCCCTGGCTGACAGGATCATGGCATGCTGCTTCTGCCTTCCATTCCAAAGGATGAAAGATCACACTCTGTGCTGCCATTCTGTCTGATTAGAAGAAAGCAATGCAAAAGCTACCAGAACTAGCAGAAGTGAAACAAACTTTTGTTACTGGTCTAAGAAACCTTGAGAAGTCAAATGCAGTGGGAGATGTGGAAAAAGCCAAGAGCTCACCTGCTGTTTATTGCAGTGACTTAGAATTGCACATATTCCTTCAAGCAGATCTGCTAAGTCTGATTCTTCAGTGTCTATGATACTTCTCAAGGCCAGAGCCAGGGCACTGTTGGAGCGATCTGCAATTATACTTGGACTGTCCAACATCTTTGTCTGTTTATCAATGTGCACAATTTGCATGGACCTATTCAGGGAGAAACACACTGTGAACAGATAGGCAACGAAGCAAAGGACTGGTAATGGTGAGGGGTGCAAGACACAAAGCTCAGCGTTGGACTGAATCCACTTCATAGAGTCAGTTTCAGTGCTTTTTCATCATATGCTTTGCGTAGGACAGAAACCTAAACACACAAAAAGAGCAAGTTTATACACAGTGCTCTCTGTTGACAGCTTGCATCAAACAGATCAATATCTTCCATCCTGGCAAATGGAAATAAGCATTTAAAAAATGCACACAGGGGCGTATTTTGCCCCAGATGGATGGAAATTGTACACAAACAAACGCAAGGTAATCTGAACACAACAACAAACAGGGAAATGAACAGCTTTTATCAGACTCAGCTTACTTGGTAACACCTCTTGTTAAGCCAACGTTGCAAGCACGAACTCCTTTAAGGCTGTTGATTATGCTGCTCTTTCCCACATTAGGGAAACCTGAAGAAAACCACATAAATCCTTGTAAGTAAGAAACTAAGCCTATGTAACACTAATCAAAAATTGTTTCTTTCAGGTGTCTTTGGTAAAGTACATCTTCAGTGTGAGATCAGAGTTGGATCTGAAGTCTTCACTACAGAAGTAAGACAAAGTGTGTATCCTCATTTCTCACACTGATAATGTAACATCACGTATTGTATCAGATAGGAGGAAGACACCACAAGCTGCATGATACATAACCTGCTTCTCTTGTTGCCCTAAGCTGGTGTGTCAGCTAAAGGCTCACACAACATGCCTCTCACAGATCACAGACACTACATACATTTAAATGTAACATAAATCACTGTCAACTAAAGTCTTAGATGAAAGTAAGGGCAATGACAAGAAAGCCTATTAGCATGTCATGTGTTAATTGCTTTACCCTATTTATAATACAGGATACCAAAGCTTTATGGGAGAAAGAAACTCTGCCTGTCTCTCTGAACAACTTACCTACAACCCCAACCTGAATGGCTTTGTTTTGAGTCTTGCCGTACTCTTGAAGAAGTTTCAAAAGGCATTTGGTTCCAAGACATTCACTGGTTCTTGATACATCAACACGTGCACGTCTCCTTGTGGACTGCTCCTGCTACAGGATTCAAAGGCATAAAAAAACCCCAGCCATGGTGAGGAGCTGCTTAGGAAAGTAAATACATATTGCTTAGATTTATTTATTGACTGTAATGATCTCTATTAGGTGAAGACAGGCTGAGAACATTGGAGCTGTTCAGCCTGGAAAAGAGAAGGCTCTGTGGAGACCTCATAGCAGCCTTCCAGTATCTGAAGGGGGCCTATAAGGATGCTGAAGAGAGACTCTTCATTAGGCACTGTAGTGACAGGATAAGGGGCAATGGGTTTAAACAGGAGAAGTTCAGGTCGGATATAAGGAAGAAGGTTTTTACTGTGAGGGTGATGAGGCACTGGAATGGGTTACCCAAGGATGTTGTGAATGCTCCATCCCTGGCAGTGTTCAAGGCCAGGTCGGATGGAGTCTTGGGTGAGATGGTTTAGTGTGAGGTGTCCCTGCCCATGGCAGGGGGGGTTGAAACTGGATGATCTTAAGGTCCTTTCCAACCCTAACTATTCTGTGATTCTATGTTATTGCGTTCTTTTAAACAAAAGGAATTAGCTTAAGAAATTGGCTGATCAGTTAAGTTACAATAAAAAGGGTAGCCATCAACTACTAAGAGCAAAAGGAATGTGAACCAACTTACAGGGCTTGTGAATTCAGTTCAGGCTTTACTGCAGATTTGTGGTGCAGCCATGAAATAACCATGAACTTTTAGAAGGTAGAATCTTAAACCTGCAGATTCCCTCAACTTCTTCAGTTGTTTGAAGGATTTCAAAACCTGCTCTGTGTTGCAGTTTCCACACCATTTTGTGGGAGGGTCTGTTTCACTGTGCTGTTATCAGAGCTAAGACGTGTGAAACGTTATGTATTTATATGACTCAAGTAAGCATCTTCAAAGAGTTGAGACTAGGACCCAGCTTGCTAATCCCTCTATGCTCCTTATGAAATAATGCCTGGCGATACCTTTATTGATAGCCACAGTCAGGATGAATGCAGTAGTACTGCCTGCACCACTTTACCTACACACAGTGCTCTTACCAGAGTCTTGTCTTTCATCAGCGTTGCCGATTTAAAAGCAACTGTTGGAAACTCCTTCTTCAAATAATTCAACCATTTCTCTAAGTTCTCCTTTGGCACTAGATCTGGAAAAAAGAGCACAGTCCTTTCAGTCCTCTGAATCTTAAATGTCACTGTGTAGGGGAAATCTAATGTGAGCCAGAAACAAAGCTGTATCTTGCCCATTTAGTGCGTTCCTTTATGACAAATAATGTTTGGCTGAAAACTCTAGCAAAGTACTGGATATGTTGCCCAAAGACAACCAGTGTTGCAAAAAAATTGTATGTTCTGCCTGAAGCAGAATGTACCAGAGTTACATCTTAGGCCGCTGTATCAGGTTTTTAATGCCGGGATCTTGCTACAAAACTTTGTACAGTACAATGTGATGTACTCTGAAGGATTATCCCCTCATCCCTGCAAAGGCTACTCTAATACAAAGTTCCCTTTGCTCTTTTTCACTGCTGGTAACTCCAGCAATATCCAGCCTTTTTAGCCAGTTTCACCTTTTCTGTGGACTCTTTCATACAGCAATGGAAGAGAGAAAATACTTCCCAAAGACAAATTTCAAATCCAACTATTGCACTCACTTACTGATCCTTAACTGCCACTGCCTCAGTGGGGACCAGCATGGTGACCTGCCTACTCACCTGTGCTCACAAAAATGTGAAATAGTAAGATCTTTAACTTCTCCCAAATTTGGCTGAACCTGGCCAATGCCTTCAGAAGTTACTGCAAAAGAAATGGGCTAATGCGCGTGCAACTGTCTGCTGTGTTTTCTTAGCAAACTAGACAAAAGGTGGAGGAAATGTGACCCATTCAGTAGGGCAGTGAGCTCAGAGTTGGATCTTATGTCTTCAACTGAATCTCAGATTCCCTTAAAATCTTCTTCATAGCTCATGTGCCGCAGGACCACAGCGACCAAGTAACAGTCTGGAAAAACCTGTGCCTCTTACCAGTTTTGTTCAGAACCAACACTAGCTTTTTGCCTCCTCCAGAGCAAGTTACAGCTTCCTCCAGTTGAGGACACCGGCAGCCCATTGGATCTCTTGCATCTAAAACCTCTAGAACCACATCTGAGGCCTCAATCACCTAGGTGAGAAAAGAGAAGACTTTCAAATAAGACATGACACAGCATTTGACAGATGCCAACTCTGGAATAGCTGTGGCTTACAACAGTTACTGTTAAATTTCACAGACAGGTTGGTGAGGTTCCCTATTAACTGTTCTTGTTGGAGCTCCTTTCCTGTGAACTACACAGCAGAAAAGCTGAAGCAATTGTCATCTTTTTTCCTCCAAAGGCAAGAAATCCTTAGTACCTCCTTTTACTACAAGAACTTTTGATTACTCAGTATGTACTGGCATTGGCCCAAGAAGTCTAATGCCTCAAAGTGCTGAATGTCTCAGTAGCTCACACCAGACAAGACTGAAACCCTCACAGTTACTGTTGTAAAATCCCTTACTTGAGTGTTAAATTTATCACAAGCAACCTTTATAGTCTCCAGCAGCTGAGCAGGAATGCAAAAAAGGAAACTAACAAGTGGTCTCATTGCTGACTCTCATCAAATTATATAAAAATAGCTGGTGTGTCTCACCTTCCTGAGCTCGCTGCAGAATGACTCCTTTGAATTTTTATCCAGCCATTTGTTAGCTTTTGCTTTAGATTTTCCAGAGGATTCCTGAATGCAAATAAAAATGAAGGGGAATCATTTGAGAATTAGTGCATTATACTTGCATGCTTATACAGCATAAATATGTAACACATAACAAACTGCTTAAGAAAATGTAGCTTCAGGATTACTTTTATCAATTCTATAAGGTTTAAAGAATCAAAATCATACCAGACACCTACCTTTCCCTCTGCTTTTTCCTTAATTTTGGCATTCTTTTTAGCTTCGAGCTTCCTCTTCTTTTCATGTTCTTTCTGTCTGTTGAGCTTCTGCTTTTGTTTTAGTTCTTCAAGCTGATTACAAACAAAACCCCAAGCCAGATAAAACGTAGTTGAAGGTGGGAAGGAAGACTTGTTCTTTCTCCCTGTTTACTTATTTCTGACCAAAGCTCCTGAGGCAGCTCAGTCAGAAGTCATGGCTGCCCAGTGTGACACTGACAACTTTTCTTGCATCCTACCCTGAAAAGAATAGTTGCCTTCAATTGCCTCAAAACCAGAGGCCATACAGACCCCCAAAATAACAGCTGTGCAACAAACACAGTGCAGCTGAAAAGGGTGGTGTTCTCACGTCACATTACACCATGCTGCAGACAGCAGATCCCTGTTTTCTGTATAATCGCATAATGCCAAGACTTAACATTCTGATGGGGTATCTGTGTATCTCAGCCTCACAGGCAACTTGGATCACCTCAGAAATGACATTTCCAGCGTGTTTATACACACAGTGATAAAATGGAGGTTAAAAATAAAAGAGCAAATTGTTACACACTCTATAATGCTGGAAGTAAATACAGGATCATCTGCAGTCAACCACGAGTGCACCTCTGGGTGCGCACATGCGCATACAGAGGCACACAGAGCTCTCTGGAAGACAGGAATGGTCTCGGTTCTTGAACTCTTTACCACAAACTATATTTTACCCTCTGCTTTCTTTGCTCTGCTTCCCGTAGAAGCTGTTCCTTAAACGGTGCAGCACTAGGAACACCTGGATCTTTCTTAGGCTTTTTGCGTCCACGTTTCTTGGCCTCCTTCCTGACTTTTCGGTGGTGTTCTCTGATCTGAGGACAGGAACAAGAATATTTTCTCAGTCTAAGGAAAAAAGGGGGATGTATCCCTATTTACAGATAGTAAGAATCGGTACGTTTCTGATTTAGACTGAAGTGCTTTACTGTATAATGCCTCATCACAAAACCAGCCCAAAATAATGCAAAACGCAAAAAATGGACGCTCTTTCCTACATCATCCCCGGGCCAATGGTAACCGGAAAGGTAACTCTCCGCTACAGCCCAGGCTCCGTGGACATGCAATGTAACATCCTTATTGCGTACACGTTTCTGTAGTAGCT